AGAGAGAGAGAGAGAGAGAGAGAGAGAGAGAGAGAGAGAGAGAGATTGCTGACTTTGGGACTTGATGACATTTGGATTCAGACTCGACATTGGGATTGAGACATTGGACGAGGGATTATTTGGGACCTGTACCGAAGACTTGGTGTTGACGACATTCTCATCTCCCTCTCTTCTTCGTCTAATCCCCCTCCTCTTCGTCTGTGTATGTTTGAGACTGGCGCATTCTTCCTGTGTGAGCGCCAGGTCCCTTCACACCATGTGATGATGATGATGTATGTTTGGTCTGCATTGCCACATTGATTGGTCTGATCATTGGTATTTTAGCTTTCCGCTGTGCTATTCTGTACTATGTGAGAGAGGTTGGTTCTTGTTCTGGTCTGTCCTACTACTCCTACTCTCCCTCTCTCTTTCTCATGGGGAGGGAGAGAGAGAGAGAGAGAGAGAGAGAGAGAGAGAGAGAGAGAGAGAGAGAGAGAGAGAGGCATGGAAGAAGTGGAGGAACACTGACCTTCGCGAATGAACTCCAAGGACGTCCAAGGCGGCGGGTGGCAGCAGACGGTGAACGAGCTCCAACACGGTGCATTGCAACAGTGAGCGCTACGTGGAGTGCAGCCCTGTTATTTTCGCGGCGTCGTGGAAAACTACGGGGTGTGAATTCAAATTCTTTGCGCCTCCTTGCTGAACGACATCTCAGAAAGATGCATTTCCCGCAGGAGGGCAAATCAGACAGGCACCAGGGGAAATGGGAGCGGAGGTCCTGTAGAGGCATTCCGGAACGTTGCACCCCTCACCGACAGGGGCCTGCACGAAAGTTCAGAGGCCCCAGGGGGCAAATCATGGTAAGTCGGCCGTCGGAGGGGCAAATCGCAAATAAACGGAAAATATAAGCGCATTTTGGAAATTTTCCTCAATTGTATATGTATATATATTTTCAGATCGTAAGCTTTTGGGGAAATTTGCGTTTTACCCCTCAAAGTTGAGATATATGCCAAAATGCCCCTAAAAGATGTGGGTAGAGCGGAATGCCCTTTTGGCCTTTTCTTTGTGATATGCCCCTGTCAGGCCGAAGTGCAAATTTGCAATCTGCACCTCTCCACTGGGGCCTGGGCCTGCGCCCTGTTTTACCCGGTTCGCCCTCCCTAAGCGTCGGAGAGCTTTGAAGAATAGCCAGACCCTAGGAGAGGCAATCTGGGACTTTGAATTCAAACTTTCAAAATGATTGCATGTCGCTCGAGGTTGGCCGCTTCACGCTGGGTTCCCAAGCTCGGCTCCGTCCTGGTAAGTTTCTCCATCTCTGACCTCCTCCTCCCTCGCCATTCCTCCAAGGTCTCCTCCCTCTGTGTGTGTGTGTGTGTGTGTGTGTGTGTGTGTGTGTGTGTGTGTGTGTGTGTGTGTGTGTGAGAGAGAGAGAGAGAGAGAGAGAGAGAG